TACGGACCGATACCGGTCCGAATATGTTCATTAACATATCCAGACCGATATCGGTCCGTATATTTTTGTGTTCAGACCGACACTATTCGGTCCGTATATGATCGGTCCGTATACGTCATTTTTCTAGTAGTGGTATTCCGAATTAAACGTAACAACGAAGGGAGAATGGAAAGTTATAAAGCTCGTCTTGTGGCCAAAGGATTTCATCAACGACCTGGTTCTGATTACTTTCATACTTTCAGCCCTATTATTAAACCTATTACTATCAGAATTGTGCTTTCTTTGGCACTTAATCAGAATTGGCCCATTCATCAACTTGATGTCAACAATGCTTTTCTCCATGGGAAGCTCGAAAAAGAACTATTTATGGCCCAACCACCTGGGTTTGTTGATGCTAGCTTACCCCAACATGTTTGCAGGCTTCGAAAATCTATATATGGTCTGAAATAGGCCCCTCGCACTTGGTTTAAAGAGTTGAAAACGTTTCTGCTTTCTCATGGGTTCCAGAATTCCAGATCAGATACCTCTCTTTTTATATATCATCATGGCTCTGATTGCTTATATTTTTTGGTTTATGTTGATGATATTATTGTGACCGGCAGCAACCCGAAGTTAGTTGATTTGTTAATCACGTTAATGGGGAACACCTTCTGTATCAAAGATCTTGATGCTCTTAATTATTTCTTGGATGTTAATGCCATTTTCACTTCTACAGGTCTTTTTCTTTCACAGGCTCAATACATTCGTGATTTATTGGATAAATTTGGCATGGCTGAGGCTAAACCGATTTCCTCCCCAATGGCTATTGCTGCTCTTCAGTTGCACCAAGGTCTCAAACTTTCAGATCCTTCTTCGTATCGGAGTCTAGTGGGCTCTTTGCAATATCTCAATCTCACTCGGCCGGATATTACCTTTGCTGTCAATCGTCTTTCCCAGTTCCTTCATGCTCCATCTGATGTGCATATGCAAGTTGCCAAGCGTATCCTACGTTATCTCGAAGGGTCTGTCTTTAATGGACTTCTACTCCGTCGGCAACCTCTGTCTCCTCTTCATGCTTTTTCTTATTCTGATTGGGCCGGTGACAAGGATACCCTTCAGTCTACCACTGGCTTCATTGTGTTCTTGGGCAGCACTCCAATTTCTTGGAAAGCTTGTAAACAAAAGGCTGTTGCTCGTAGTTCAACTGAGGCCGAGTATCGTGCGTTAGCTGCTGCTTCCTCTGAGAGGTCATTTGGGTCTGTAATATTCTCTGCGAATTGGGTCATCCTATCTCTTCTCCGCTTGCCATATACTGTGATAATATTGGTGCCACTCATCTTAGCAGCAATCCCGTAACGCATACCCGCATGAAGCACATTGCCATTGATCTTCATTTTGTGCGTGAATTAATGGATCGAAAGTTGTTGCGAGTCAGTCACATCTCCACTGTCAACCAGCTTGCCGATGGGCTGACTAAACCTTTATCCTCAGCATGGTTCTCTCAACTGAAATCCAAGATTGGAGTTACTGATGGTAGCTCCATCTTGCAGGGGCATATGACGGAAACAAAGCCGGTCATCAATTCCAGCAATTCCCACTCGTGAGTTACGGCAACACAATCCTCGCTTGTGAATCACAGCAACAAGGCAACTATATATTTTGTGTTATAGCAGCATATCAGTTACAGATTATAGCAGCATATCAGTTACCGATTTAAATCATATATACTCCACTATTGTATATATCTTTAGTTTCCTTGTATAACTACAAACACTTGTATATATTTGGTTCAGCATTATGAATACAGATCATCGTTTTCCAGTTACAAAGCTTGTTCCAATAATGTATACTAGACTTTCTCCATATTGTATGATAATTTAGCTGGGAATAATAAA